CCCCCAATTCCCAGTAAACAGGCCAGACCACATCACAGTAATCTCGTGAGTGGGTTCTTTAACTTCCCCTGCGTAACCAAATTAACTAATTAATAGATGCAGGAGATGAGACCTATTCAGAGGAATACTATGAACTTAACTGAAGCAATGAGTTGTTTCAGGACAGAAATATAACTGTACATAAAATTTAATGAAATCTCAGGTACTAGAATCATCAAGGCTTGTTTATTTCCTATATCCTCAAATGCAGAAATGTCAAAAAACAAGAACATAATTCTCTCATAAAATGAATCGGATGGACTTGAAATTTGTCTCAACCACATACATCACTCACTAGACTTGTCAGGAAGTCTCCTCCTTTCTCTTCAAAGGTATAAAATAAATCCCCCCCCCCTTTGCACTGTCTAACATGTATTTCTTTTAACTTTGAAGCTGAAAATCTGTATAGTGTTTAATCAAACAAAACCCCCAATTGATAATTACGGTGGCCAATTTACCATTTCAACTTTGTTGATATATCCAAATTATTTCGTTACTCCCACCGACGCAGCCCCAAACAGTTTCTTTCGAAACTATCAGCCTCTACATAAGTAGGGTTTATTACTGCGAGGATTGATTTCATATATTTCATGAAACCACAGCACACATATATGATTTTAATATATTCAAAATTCAAGGTTGAATAACTTACAATGTGGACTGAGAAAACGAAGTTAGTAAGGTATTCACTTTATCTCTTGGTTCAAATAGATGGAGAAAATTTCAATTTAAACAATTTTTGAATTTAGGGTGTTGTACTATGAAATAGGGCATGCTAAATTGACCAATCATAGCACATGCTCTAACTGAGAGATATAATCAACAATTATTCCCTGAAGGTGGAGTGAATATTGTGGAATAATCACCACAATGAAGATGAAGGGACTATTTCACAATAATCACTGAGCCTGAGGCAAATAATTATTTTAGTATAATTGTAGTGATTTTGAATTCAGTTGTAAATTTGTTTCATTGTTGAAACCATTCTGTTACTAACAGTTGTTTTGATTACTTGTATCATAGAAGCCTCCAGTCTCTGCTAGAATTTAACAGGTTTATTTCATTCAATCAGCAAAAACTTCAAATCTTTATTTTGCAAAGTGTTATGCCAAACTTAATAGCATCTCTTTTTCCATTTGGAATTCAATTTTCTTTTATTGCATTTATCAGGTCCTTTGTAAGTTTGTAACATTGACAAAATGAGAGGCAGCGATTTTGAAATTTGCACTAGGTGATTACTGTGAGATATCATGCAATCCTTAACAAATTGGAGCATGAGCATCTCTATAATCACCAGAACAATTATACTAATGAGAAACAATAATGTAAAGGAGAAACCCCATTTGGTCTGTCCTGGGAGTGAGTGGGTCAGTTTACAAAAGATTTTGAACTCTGGTGACCATTTTAGTAATCTTTCTTTTAGTGCTACATTAATCTTGGTCTCAGTCAATCTTAACAACAAATTTCTGTCTTTTTAATCACCTGCCTGAATTTAACCTCAGCATCAGCTTCTTTGTTCTTATCAGGGTGTAATTGAAGAGAAAGTTTACGATATGCCCTTCTGATGTCTGCTTGGCTTGCATCCTGAGGGTAAATGGAAAAATTAAAAAAGTTCACGGAGAATTCTCAAACATAAACCATGAAGTAAAATTGTCATGACGACATTGGTCACTTCTAAGAGGGTGGCTAAGGGCTTATCGTTAAGTGATGCGTGAATTTTATCGAAAGGCAACTGTGAACCAGTATGGTTTACCTCCCGAAGTATACTTGACCTGTGAATCTTTCTTTCATTTTGTGAAAACCACAAGATTTCCCTGACACACCTTGTGCACAAGAAGAGAGATTTAAAGGTTTGTCCCTTTTTTTCATGTGTGAAAGGTTATCAGGACTCCAAGACTCCCCCCGCCGTTTACTACCCTATTTTTGATTACTACACTGATTTATAGATCATAAATGAGATAGGAAGCGAGTCAGTTCAATCGAAGGATGTTTCGATCGAAGGTCATTTCGATCAAAACCAAAGGTCAGTTCGATCGAAGAGTAAATGATAGTAGTATATGTAATAGCAATTCAAGGAAAAGAAGTGATGTCTTGCGAGCTTCTTGCGAGCTAAATGCGCATGGATCATAAGGAATGGTCAAGTCTGTTTTCTGTTCAAGCAAAAAATCATCAAGAATAGTTGAAAACAAAACTCGAAATTATCGGCATGCCTACAAGGAGACTGGAGTCTACCCTACGCCTAGGCCTTTAGCGATATACCAAATATGGAAACAGGTGGCTGGCGGCCATGTTCCTTGAGGACCAGGTTCAAGAATGTATTCTGCATAACTCCGAAGTTAACTGTATCAGGAAATTTTTTTAAACAGATTTGATAAATACTAAGTTCAATACACCTAAGCAATAGTTACAGTCTTCGATCGAACTGACTCTTGTCTTCGAACGAAACGACTTTATCGATCGAAACGACCTTCGATCGAAACAACCTTCGATCGAACTGACTTGCATTCATGAGATACACCTTTCGATTGCTACTGATTTATAGATCATAAATGAGATACACCCTTCGATTGCTACTGATTTATAGATCATAAATGAGATACACCCTTTCGATTGCTGCTGATTTACAGATCATAAATGAGATACACCCTTTCATTTCTCTCTTGACTAACACAGAAAAAAGAAGTATATGCTCAATGGCCCTGATTACATTCAGTGGTGCAAAACAACGTTACGTTACAATAATTAGAATAATTGAACTTACACTAAACTCTGTACACTTTCCGTTGAAAATTCTGTGAATCTTTTCGATTGCGATAGATATAATTATTCGCTGAATCTACGATCAAGAAGTCATTCAACTTAACCTTGTCACCCATTTGTTAAGAATTTATAGTAAGAAGAAACTTCCGCCATACTTACCTGTTTTAGCCCAAGTATATCATAAAAATTATCTTTGATTTCTTCTACAAGGTCGAATAACTCCAGATCTATAGAATCCCAGCCGTAAACGATCGAACATCTTGAAAATATGAACAACATAAGAAAAAATCTTCTTGACATCAATCCGTCAAGAAGAGCCGCCATCTTGGAAAATGAACGACAAGGTCGGGCCCAGACCCTACAGGCCTTCCTCGAAGGGGCCTGAGTTGCCTGAGATATAATATATCCTGGCTTCAAAGCTTTTATTGTGCGCTCTCTGTTCTCGCGTACCTCTTATTTCGATTTGCCTTTTCTTTTTGTTTCGTTTTCGTTTTGCATTCGTTGGATGTAAGATTCCATTAGCTATAGAAGAAATGCGATCCGCAAGTAGTGGTTCATATTCCTCGACCACTTTCAGCGCTTGTAAGGTAATGACAAATGGCCATTTCTCTTTCCCCCTATCATGGCCCGAGGTGAAGCTGTACATGCCTCTCAAGCTATATACAAGTGCAAAGCCCATCCACCCTGGTAACAGGTTGCGTCGCTCCCTTGCACAATCAACCCAATTTCCGTCGCCTCCAAGTGAAGTTCTGTCGCCCAAATTATGGTTGCGTCGCCTTCAATTTTTTTACCTGAGTTTAATATTTAAACGCATTTTGACGTACGGTGGAAAGCAACGAAACTTGGGGCGACCGTGGGAGGGAGTGACGTCACCAAAACCCCCCCTCTTAAGCCTCTCTCCCCCTCCCCACTGATATCGAAACAAAAAGACTCCCTTTGCAGCCGCTGACCGAGCCATGTCTGAAAAGTATTGTATACTCAGACACACCACGTGTGTTTTGGGACGGGTCGGATATCGGAGTTATTTTAAGCATCAAATCTTGAAATACGCCGGCTCCTTAACCCTTTAACAACCTCCAGTGACCAAGACAGACTTTCTCCTTACAGTATAAAATACCGGACAATATCCAGCAGAAGAATGATAGGGATTACCAGTTCATCCAATACCAAATTCCTCAAACAAACATCACAAGAATTGTATGGCAGAAAATAAGGAGAATTGCAGAATGAGATCTTGGAAATGAAGGGGTTACTTCTCAATGGTTTAGTTTGAGACATCATGTTCCTCCGAATGAGTTGCGTGGGTGCTGGGCCCCATTTTGTGTAAGGGAGTACCCGGAAAGGACAAGCATTCGATAGAGCGATGGAACTGAACGAGAAATCGTATAATTTACGGTTAAGCACGATTTCAAATGATGCAATTGAGTTTTGATAATCTGTCTCAGTTCAGCCGACTAATTCCAAAGAAGCGCGCAATGGATAGAGCGCTAGACTGTTGTGCGGGAGGTCGAGGCTTCGAGCCCCGGCCGGACCAACACTCTGGGTCTTAAAATAATTGAGAAGAATTTGCTACCTTTCTATAACATCAAGAAATGGTTAGATATTCTAGTCTTCTCGGATAGGGACGAATAAATGGAGGTCCCGTCTCCTGCAGGGTTGGGGTAGGAGACGGTAATTTCCCACACACGAGATTACTGTGTGATGGATGTCCTCCCCTGGGGTGGGATGGGTGGGAGAGTGGACTAGCACGAATGGTTCGTATGTTCCTTTCCCACTCCTTCCCCACTGCAAAAATTAATGCAGTGAAAATGGAGTAAATTAGTAAATTAAGATGTTAGGTTAAGTGAGAAAGTTTTAAAAATTTCATGTCGCAGCGCAATTTCAAGTTATTCAAAGCTTCTTTTGACGAATAATTCAGTGACAATTTCACAACTAAGAGAAAGCCGTTAAGTGTTGTAACTTGACACGAAACAGGTGGCAAATGCTAATGGGGTTTTGCAGATGCCTTTTGCCTCACGAAAGAGTCATGCTGCTTTTGATCTCGGCGAGAAGTGTCTGCAAAAGAAAGGAATAATAAAAAGTCCTATAAACTTAAGTAACACACAAAATTTCATTTGCAACGTGGAACTACTGAGGAAGTTTCAAAAATTGATGGAGATGCGTGGCAGGACGGAAAATGCGTGCACTGTAAGTACCTTCCGTTGTCCCCGTACAAAGCCTTAGAAAAGTTTTCTAGGGCTTTGTATGAGGACAACGGAAGGTACTTACAGTGCACGCATTTTCCGTCCTGTCATGACGTTAGGTGTGTTATGGGGTTCAAGCTTCTCTTAATTGCTAGGAAAGGAAGTAAGGTTTGTTTTTTATCTCGGACATAGTTCGTGTCCGTTGTTTTGACTTAACAAATTTTCCAAGAAGTCTTTGCTAAAACTTGAAACTGCGCCGAAAAAGGCATACATTTAAGTTTATATTTCAGTGCGCGTCAATTAGGCTGAACACACATTACTGTATATTGACAAGAATTCTTCCAAATGACACATTTCCAATACCGGAAAAAAATTTAAGTCAACAAAGTCGGGCCATCACTATTGAGCTAGTGATGTGAAACGCGTTGTCAAAAGGTTTTTCAAATGCTTCGAAATTTCTCAATAATTTTCACGCTGAGAAGATTTTTATGTTTTGCTCGGACATACATATGCATCTCCTCTTTAATGATGACATAGTAAAATTAGGGTCATTGAAGTTTACTCAGCCGGTTTTTTAAAAATATTTGCAATGTTTAACCAAGTCAACATGGTCTTGTTTTGATAGCAATGTGTATCTCAACCAAGATTCAAACGTCACGTAGAATTTACGAGAGTTTTTAAGTTGCCAAAAGGAAGCCGAGGAAAAGGCATCAATTAAAATGCAATTTATCTCGATGAATGAACTAATGTCGTTTATCCTATAAAATCCGGTCGCTAAGAGATTTGCGTCTGGTGAACTCCTTAATTTTAATTTTCTTTAAGGATGTAGTTTGAAATCGTGTAGATAAGACTAACAGCAAAAGAAGAAATCTCCGAGATACCCTTTATTTTGCAAACCACGGTCTCGGGGAGACTTCCAAATTGAGAAATAAAAGGCACAAAAATAAAATCTTGACGGACATCCAAATCAAAGAAAGCTTAAAGACCTGGCAGATGCAATCCGTAGGTTGTTTGTTTAAAAGGATTTTAATAATTTTCCATAATAATTTCTAACAGTCCGTGAGAAAGTTACACTATGTTCGGTTTAAGTTTGTTGCTTAAAATTCTCACGGTTGGCTTAATAAAAAGCGCGCAAATTCGGAGCGAATCTCATTTGTGATCGAGTGTACCGTCGTGCGCGTTTGTGCCACGCGTCAGTTTCGCGTCCAATACTCGTGAGGTTCGCCTAAAGCTTTTTACCGTAAAGGTTGGTATACAAGATGCGTTTGATTTACTTTTGGATATTGTCTGCTCTCTGTGCTACTGGGGTATTTTGTTTCATTTTACCCTAACTGAAAATCTGTTTTTCTACTCGAAGAAGAAACGTTTATGATACTCAAGTAATATTTGTTCGGGAGACTTCGCCAAGTTTAAAAGGCGAGCTCTATCAATGTTTCTCTCTTTATCCAAAACTTGGTGTGGAAATCTTTTCGGAGTATTGCATCCCAAATGGATGAACAGAAATTACAGCCTTAATATTTTCGAGCAGTTTTTTTACAATGCCTAGCGTTGTTTCTCGCACATTTCAATTTTTTTTCGATGAAATTCAAATCTGAGTTTTTCATTTCACAAAGAAACCTGAGCTGAAACTTATAAATAACTACAATACTGCACGTGTTTTTCCTTGTTAGAGCCTTTTTTTCCCTCATGCATTTTTTCCGCCCTCTTTCATAAAAACAATTACTAAAAAAAAAAAAAAAACGCGAAAATACTTCAGACAAACTACTTGAGATTTCGCTGGTGTGCGAGGAAAGCTGGTCGTACCAATAGACTTTTTGGATACCGAAGTGACATCAATAGTCTTATTTTTTTCTTTACCATTTGTCTTTTTTTTTTTTTCTATCATTTCTAAAAATGCTTTGAACCTTGACTTATGAATTTTGCACTCGAGATTCCCGTTGTTTGGAAGATTTCAAATGGCCGTGATAAAGACCTCTCAAAATGAAAAATTCCTTGTCCAAAAATGCGTCTCCTGGTGGAAAAACTTATTATCAGTTTATTTGGTTTTCAAGAAGCAGCCGTCGCATTGTTGGTATCCCACGTTTTTTTTCAATTTTAAAGAACTTTAGATTGAAAGCTGAAAAAACAAGTCTTGGAGAGCAAAAAGCAATTATATTTTGAAAAAAAAAAATGGTTTTTTTAGGCTATTTGCTAGTCAGATTCCTCTATAAAATTCCAATTTGTTTGAACCGTCTCCTAGAGAGAAATCCTTTGATTATCACTGCCTTCATGGTAAAGACGAAAACCTCACCCCAGAAGAAAATATATAGATTTATGATATATTCAGTGTTAAAACCTGAGAAGAGGCGTTAGATTTAATTTCAATAATGCAGTATGTAACACGCAACATCGCCTTGGAAAATTAACCAACGCATCAAAGGCAAGTTTTAGTAAAATTCCGTTGTCGTAATTTTCAAACTATTTGCTCAGATTTTTTGTTTTATTTTGCCATATGAGAGCTCAAAAGCATTTAGTAAAGGTTAACATCACTTGAAGTCGGGCAAATTTTACACAGAGAAACAAATTTTACATATTCAATGCTTCAAAGATAAAAGCGGCTTGTTTCATAACCTAGATAACATTTCGCACGTCTAAAGTTATTCGCAACTTAACAAATTGACGGACGACTAATGATGACAAAAGCGAAACAAAAGCCTAAAGTTCGCGAGAGATATTACCGCAGCGTTCAATTGAAAAAAAAAAAAAAAAGCGTTAAATTTCGCTCGTGTCATTTAAGTAGAAGAATAAAAGGAAAGCAATATGATCCCTTTTTTTTGATACATCTTAGGATTTTCTATTTCCGTCATCTCTTTAAGAACTCATTAATTTTTTATTTCTGTGCCATTAACAACAGCTTTCGGCAGGATAGGAAGTGAGCTAAATAATCAGCCATATTGTCATTTATCTTTGAGGATCTGAAGATTCTTTCCAGTTACGACTAAGTTTTAATCACCAAAATGCAAATAAGTGAGATCACTAATCTGCGGTTTTCACTGTGGAAGCATCAAGAAGATTAATTACTATACAAATTTTCTGTTGATTTTTTGAAATGTCCAACAGAGATGCAAACATGGTAAAACAATTTCATTAAAAGAAAGTTTAAGATCAGTAAGAAATTCAGGCTTAAATATTTGCCAAAATTATGGTTAGAAAACCGAGAGGGCTTGCTAGAAAAAGCACAACTTGCGCATTTTTTTTTTTAGTTAATTATAAAACAATACTTTTGTTAATCTGATATTGAGTGCACATGACATTAAAAATCAGAAATTAGACCACCAGAAACTTATTTTCTTTCGAACTGTCTAACTCGCGAGAACAAAAAATTCTAAAACTCCTTGGATTTTCTTTTTCACATATATTTGCTATTTCCCTGTCCACCGTTTGCGCGAAACTATCGAAAGCTTCGGTAAAATTAAGCAACAAAAATATGGTCGCCATTATAACTTTTCAATCGCTTCAATGCTAGCGCTGTGCGCGTTAACATTTCTCGCGTTAAAAAACAATGGATTTGTTTAGGTAAACTTTAACTCACTCTTTCATTCAGTTGAGTCTTAGCTTGAAAGATTCAGTTCTTGAGAAAATACACACAGATTTGACGAGGCCTGTGCGAAGTTAATTTTGCGATGTTTTGAATTAAAATTTCACGGCGAAGAGAAATTAAAATTGCTGCTATTCTGTTTTGTGAGAAGAATTATCTCAGCCATATGTGCTATTCCCACGGTACGAAGTGTTTTCAGGCAGCTGTAGGAAAAACTAAACAAACAATTATTAGTGAAGAATGCATTAATTGGAGTTAATAATGGATGGGATCGTGTCTCTATTATGTATGGCGCATTTAAAATCTCATTAACATATTTCGTGTATTTGTTTGGGCCTTCTAACAAGAGCTAACAAAAGGAACGCAAGACGCGATGTATCGCTCTAAATTGTATCCTCTCTTAAATGTAAAATTTCTACCGAAGTAAAACACAAACCAAACTGAGAGAAATGGCCTAGATGTTAACTCAGAAAAGAAAAGAAAAGAAGACGAAAGCCATTTCAATAGAAGGCTCCAAATTTGTTACCGGACATGAAAGATACATTTATCTTTGAGTTGGTTTTCTGTTTTGTGCGTATCTTTCTTTCAGGCGCTCGTAATTGAAAATGTATTTAGTCGCAAAAGCTTTCACAACTTTGAGAGTTACATGGCGCAAAATAAAAAAAAAAGAAACTGAAAAGAAAAATACTTTGGTGTGTCTCAATATCCTTTTCTTCCTTCCGTTCGCCCTATTTGGATATCATAAAACTTGTTATTTGTCCAAAGTGATACTTTTTCCTTGAAGTATAAACTTAATTATAACACAGGCGAGTGCTGTTTTCCCAGTAATTAAACCAACTTATTACTGCCATCATAAGTTGAGTTATCATTTTTCCATTTTCATAAAATTACGGTTTTTCGCCATAACAAATTTTAACCGTGGACTTCAATCTGTCAAGCTCGAACCACGAAAATTATATTGTCTGTAAGAAATGTTAAAATAAGTTGTCTTTCAAAATAGCACCAATATCCACTATTGATCTTCTCGGCAAAGAAAAGGTGCCATAAATTAAACCAAGCTTTGTAAAGACTTTTTTCTTTCTTTAATTGAGCCAGAAATATTATCTACTGCGGTACTTTCTTTTGTTTCTTATAAATGAAGTCAGCTTTTTGGCGGATCTTATCTGAGAGTTTAATGTCCTCATAGTAACGTAGGGTTATTTAAAAATGATTTTGCATAGAGTTTTAATGATTTTTTGGAGTAAAATACGTCCGGGGAAGAAATCCACTTATATATCGTCGCTACAGGAAACCTGATTTCTTTAATATAGCTTTGTTTTGTGCCGAGATGTTAAGTAACACTTAGGTATCTATACAATATACAATATTAGTTAAGGAGCTGTTTAAGTGAATTTTGTCAGAACTTTGAAAAGCTTAAAATATAAAGCGTTTCTAGATGATAAATTGACGCTGAAGTTGCCAGTAAAAATGGCTTAAAATGATCTAACACGAATTTCTAACATCTCGAGAGTTCTGGTCTATAATTGACTTGGCAGGCTTTTCTGTTGTGGCTCAACAAAAGATCGATTCTTCGAGAGAAATCTTATTGATAAAAATCAGAGATTGGAGAATAAAAGTCACCTTTGCCTCTGAATTAGGAATAATGAAATAAGTGGTATGCATTTTAGCATTCAAAACAACAGCTTTTTGATAACTTCAATTTAAAGCACGTGGCCAAAGTGCTGTCATGATCCGCGCAGTGAAGGAGATTGACTTTTGAAAATTGTAAGAACCCTCACATTACATTAACTGTATTTTTCTTCCATATTCTTCCGACATTCGCTAGAAAAATCCTTTCAATGTTGCAAGTTGAAGAGAAACATTTACAAACACAAGCAAAGATTACTTTTATGAAAAACTCTGGGTTATTTTTATGCGAAAACGAGCGAAATTCCGCCTTGCTAAGAACCCCATTGGGGTCAGCTTTAGGAAGGGGTTTGCCTTTCTTAGAACTACAAAAGACGTGGATATCTTGCATAATTCTTAAGATTTCCTGTAAGTTGTCTGTGCTTCGAATGAACGAATGGCAAATTCGAGGCTTTAATTCAAATTTTAGAGCAGATCACGAATGGACCCTGACCAAAATAGTTTGTTAAGATATTCACATCACCTATTCGCTTTCCAACGCCCATAGAATTACTCTTGTAAGTTACATTTCGACAACTTTCACACCAAACAGACCCTTCGAGTGTTCGTGGTATCACCATGTCTGGAGAATCACAGTTAATTAAATATTCATATTTTACCGAGAATGATCGCTGCAATTTTCTTTTTTACCTGTTACAAGAAGATAGCTGAATTAGAAGCGAGGGAACATGGTTAAAAACACGATTAACAGCAAACACACCTGGAGAAAGCGATTATTTGTCACTAGCATAACGCTCATATAATTGTCAATAACAGTTGTAGGTGACTCCGAACGTTTTCTTTTCAATAATAACGCATGCGCAGAACTTTCGCTTAGAACGCCAGAAAAATTTTACCTAAAACACCGCTTTTCTACGCTGTGTTTAATTTTGATATCGAAAGAAAACTCTTATTAATGGGCAAGAATACTTCTCGGGGTATTGACGTTCCCGCCAAGAGCTCAATATGAATAAAACATGAAAAAAAACTCTTTTTTTGCATAAATTTGCGGCATTTTTGTGCCTCTAGTGGTTTTTTTGCTCCTTAGGACGCTCGCTCCGATAAGATTAAGCCGACCCCAATAATGTCATTTCTAAGAGGAAGCTTGTTTTGACTTGATTCACTTATGAACTGAGAGGATTCACCCATTAAAATAATTACCAACGCTCAACGTGCTCGGTAACTTGTGTTTTTGCAAATTTTAAAAGCTTTTACAAGTCACAGTCAAATGTGTTGACACACAACAAAACAATACTGCTACTATCCATCGTTAATTAATATGTTTCACATCACAAACACTCTTTTCAACGAAATATTCCGTATTTTGCTGCTTTTTCGTTCCTGGAAGAAGATGGGAGATTCTTGGACGATCGTGGGGGTCTCTGGCGAGAAGGATCTCCGTCAGCTCCCTCCAGAGACTTGTAGCCAACGAAACCTCCTTGATTATTCATTCATGATTTATTTTTAAGCCCAAAAACATCTGCTTCTCCTATTTAAATCTCTACAAACAAAAGAAAAATCTAATTCACTGCATGGCGTGGGTAACACCTTTAATAAAGGATAGAAATCAGAAGAAGAGTCTGCTCTTGAAACTCACGCTCGCACTAGCAGACAATGGCGGCTATGACAGGAGACTATGGCTAAACTGGTGTTTGATATACACTTCCTCGTCTCCTCTGCCATTAAGATCTGGCCTTGAATCGATTGCATGCGTCTGGTGAATGCGCCAGGAGACGTTGACAATTGAAACAAAGCTCTGAAAGGGCCAAATAATTGATCATGGCTCAGGGTCTGGTTAATTCAGGGCGCACTATACAAAACTCATGTGTTGTGTCTCGACCAATCACGTCTCGTCTCCACAGGGTAGATATCGACCAGTGTTTTAATGAAAAAAAGAGCTATTCAGTAGCTCGCAGGTTGCTACCAATTGTGTAAATCTTCGAACGTGTGCACACATAATACCTGTCTCCTTTCTTTTAAATGGAGCTGCTCTTGGAAATGGCTCGTCACAGCTGCCTCTTGTCTGTTTAACAATGCTTTCCCCGCAGCTGCGAAAGGAATATGCTTCTTGGTCTCAGCAACGGAGACGGTATTTTGTATTGATAGGCCAGAACCGACACAAGCAATTACCTTGCCCATTATCGCTTTAATCCTTGCAAGTGAACGTGTGTACCAATATCATTTAAATATATCCCCCTGATAAAGAGTACAACACGTTTGGAGCCCCTGCAAATAAGCGTATCAAGACATGGGGTTGATATTCACACCAACCGATTAAAATATCGTTTGTCTAGTGTAGGTTGTTTATAGAATGTCATACCTTGGGTTCGTGGCCAATGTTTATAGGATTTATCTACCTGTTACCTAAATGTCGGTCTCGTGCAAGGGCTTCCAGTACCATCCCCAGCCCATCCCACTTTGGAATGCTTATGTGAGTGAGGAAGATAGAACAAAGCTCTTTAACGCTCGATTGCCCAACAGTTAAGGGGGTGTGCACCCCTTAGCTATTTCATTACACAAATGTTCTACAGTCGAGCCTTTGGATGGGCAAACACGCCCCGCACGTGCAAAGAGGACAGCCTTGATCGATAAGATCAAAAACTCATTGGTATAAACCCACGTTTTCTCTTAGGAAACACGACAAATGAGGCTCCGTGTTTCGTCTGTTGGTGCCGTGAGGTCTACAAAGTCCAAAAGACCTCCTGGGAAACACGATTACTCAACTATTCTACACGAGTCTTTAGAAATCTGATAGGGTATTTTATAACACAAGGAACACACACGATAAAGTCAAACGCCCGTTAGTTACACTATTCCACGACATTAGACAAACGCCCTGAAGTTTGAGCCTAAGTGGAGGGGACAGGAAGCAAATATGATTCAGTTTCTTTTCAGAGGCGCAGCTCATTAATCTTTAATTTGCCAAGAATACTAAGCTACGAAAAGTCAAGCAGTTTATGTAAATCAAATCCCCCGCGCAGTAAGACCACCACATTCACTCTTTTGTTAAATTCAAATGTAACAAAAGGTTGTACAGTTTATCCCCACGACGAATTATATTTTTCATAAATTTACTCATCAAAGAGATTATGCCAGTTAGAAATCCCAACAATAAAAATCTCACAAGTAATGTAGAATTCAATGTTTTTTAATATACAAATTCTAGATGTGTTTTGCTTGGAGAGAGAAAAATTTACAAAAACGTTTTACGGAATTTTTGAGTTGATTTGGTTTAGTTGGAATTTTTCCCTCGGAGAAAAATGCAAACAAAACGCACTTTACTAACCCACAAATGAAACACAAAATCTGTCTGTATAATAAAACTTCGTTCGTGCATCCAGATATATTACAGTGTCCTTCTCGCAAGCTAGTCATTAAAAAATAATTCTACCTCTGCTAAAATACAATTAAAGTTCAATATTTTCCCTGCCCTGGCATAAAGCGTAATTAACAGTATTTTCCTTTTCTCACAAAGGTGAGGGATACATTGCATTGTTATGTATTCTCGGATCTTCAGGGGTCCAAATCTTCGCTTTCATAATACTGGACGATAGTTTGGGTTTCTTCGAATCTGTCCACGATAGTGAATGCCCTGTTAATGGCGGCAGACCGTACTCTTGAGTACCTGCCAAAAGGGAAAACAACGTGAAGAAAAAAAAGTGAGCATACATGGAGAATATCAATAAAAGAATTGAAATTTATGAATGATATGTAGGTTTTGCCTTGTGTGTTACATGTAATCGTAAGGGCGGCCCTTGTTTGCTCTCTGAGGATTTGCCAGCCGAATTTGACGAGATTTCCCTCAATTTGCAGTTTATAAAATGCAAAAAATTACCAAAACGTCAATTTTGTTATTAGCCTTCAACCCAACATGTACGTGAGAACTTCCCAGATGGGCACAAACTTCTGTTACCAAAGCGAAACATTCACTCCAACATAAAACTCAGGTACTCACCGAAACCTCGATGACATATCATAACTTTTCTGGGTTGTTCTGAAGACGTTGGTTGTAGCGCTTGGCTGTGGCTCATATCGGAACTGATCATTTCTGTAAGAAAACCAATGTATCCGATGGCTAGTCGTAAAGTGTCGACTTTCGATAGTCTTTTCTCGTAAGGTAGCGTGGGGATGTGATGTCGAAGGCCCTCAAATGCCTCGTTTATGCTTTGCATTCGTTTTCGTTCGCGTAAGTTTGCTGCATGTCGTTGTGCGATTTGCTGTGTTGGGGATTTCCTTCTTCGCTTGCGCTTCAAGTTCTTCTCGTGATGGTCCGCCGAGGCGAAATGAAACTGACTTGTCAACTGTGACTGTCTCTCACGAAAAGGGATCGGGCTCTCCATCTGTTAACGATTAAGATTTTCCTTGGGGAGCCTTGATGTTCATGAAAGGTTTTGCTCCGGTTAATGGCACCGTTGGCACACGTTTCTTACAGTCGGTCGACTTATAGCCACTTTTAGGCGGCCAACGAACCAATCACAGGCGAGCATGAGGAACAATGGCTCGATACAGAGCTGTGTCACTTTTCCATTGTCATAAGTATCCTGCCGACTGCAACTAAGTGTGAGTTAAGCGTTTAATAAAACTATGTAAAAACTTACAATACACGACGAAATTTCATATCGCTTGATTTGCGTTTAAAAAACAGTAAATACGAATTCGCGAAATCTAAATAAAAAAAATGGAATGATAATGACGAGATAAACCTGCCGCTTTGAGCCATTGTTCGGAGCTTAGAAAAACCATTTTTTTTTGGAATTTAATCAGTTCTTTTAATTGAGAATCTTCCCTGATTCCCTTTTCTTTTCCTCGCTTGTATCGAAGAGAATGACGAATCGAACAATGAGAATCGTACTTAAAATAAAGGACAAGTTCCCCGAGCAACCTCTGGTGGGTTTCAAACCGCAAACAAACTTCTTCGGTCTTTGAGTGACTGCGTAAACACGAATTAGTAGTTGAGATATCGCAGTCGTTAAAACAAAACTCAAACGTTTATCATCAAAGAGGTTTTATTACTTTGACAGCGAGAATGGAGCCAGCGTTTTGATTCGCAAAAGGCTGAGCGAAAACACATCAACTTTTCTGACGTCATGGGTGACAAATTTAACAAAGAAACAGCCAAAAGAAAAAAATGGAGAAAACAAATGTTGATTTGGAGTCTACAGAATGACAAACGTTTTGCGAAACACGTTTTGCTCTGTTGGATTATTGGTATTAAAAATTTCAAATACCATGTTTTGTGCCATAATTTAATTTTGTTTCGCACAGCAAGGAATCGTCCACATCCTCATACAAGAGCACATTTCTTTGAATTAGGTTAATTTGACGGAGGCTAGACGCGAGAAAAATGAATATTATATTATTCGTCGACTCTGGGTAATTGTAATTTATGCCACCGTTACTTCCGGGAAAAACTCTGAAACAAACGCTATTTTTCTTCAAATTCGACGAGATTATCCCCTAGCATGCTTTGTTAAATTCTCGATGGCCTTTATTCAGCAGGATTGGGAAGTCTCGCAAGAAGCTGTTTTGAGATTACCACGCTGAACAAAAGGACAGCGCTTGGCGAGTAAACAATGTATAAAAGATAATAAACTGAACGAGATTGCCCTATTGTATAGGAACAGAGGATTCAGCGATTGTAATCAGCGTCCGCCGCTATTTAATGTCATATTCCAAACTCATTGTAGCCTCAAGCGCTTGTCAATGAGCTCTGATTTAGGAGTTAAATGTCAAAAAAAGTCCTCCTTTAACACGATGTGCTTCAAATACTGGGCAATTATTTCTCTCGATTCTTGAAAAATAAAAGTCTTCGCTGTTGTAACTAAAAAAGATCTCTCGAGAAGAGACTTAGAGTCCAAATTGTGTCGCAATCTTACAACCATTCTTAGGCTTATGTCATCCCGAGAAGCAGACAGATGTTTTTCGTGTATTTGTATCAGCAATCGATGTACGTTAATGTGTAAAGTACAAGAAAAGGTATAATAATCATTAGCATAGGTAGCCTCTCGGGTTTTCGATTATTTCAGCTTTCAATAACTAATTTCGATCAAATGAAACCATCAGATAATTTGCCGCGAAAATTGACGAAATCGAATCTTTTGAATGTTTCCATTTACTTGGAGTTAATGAGTTGTTAGGGAAAAAACGTTCTTTTCATTAAAAAAAAGTAGAAACTGCACTTAAACCACTTTCTTCTGTTTTGGGAGAGTAAAATGCAAGGAAATTGGTGCGTTTAAGGGCAAAAACATTTGCCCGATGGGTGATATTTTGATTTTCAATTCAAGTGTAAGGGAAAAAACAACACGCTTAAAATGCACGTGTTTGAGTTGAAATCCCTTTAAGATTTTGCAAATTCGAGTGCTTTTCATTACTTTAACCATTGTTGCAGTTCTTGTTCTTGAAGCACTAAAAATAATCGTCATTTTGTTTCAAGTTTCTAAAAAGGCAAACAGATGGAACTGTTGTGAGTTTGTTAATTACCCCAATGTGCGTGTATGACAAACTGTTGCCATCGTTCAAAGAGACAATTTTTTACCCTAGCACTTGGTTATCTTGTCTTATCGATAAGGAAGAGGTTATTGAACCAGATTTGAAGATTTAAGAAAAATATTCTTAGATATTCTAAGACAAAAATATTCCCAGGTTAAAAAAAATTGGGCGCAGTTATTGTTTCTAGGTTATTCGCACCAGTTCAAAAGTAAATGTGAACTGGGATTCATTATGTTTCGGTCGGCGTTCTTGATGCATTCTCGACGCAAAGAAAGTTTGTTACATTTTTTATTGTTAATAAAGACAAAGAATGATTTGCAATTTCAACGATGCAAGGAGACATTTACAACAAAGTTTTAGCGAAAAAAAAGTAAATAAACAAATTTCTTGGGATAAAAATCCGGAGAATTCAATTTGAATTTATGCTTGTGTTTAATGCCGTCGAACTAAACTAGAAATGCTTAGAAATAATCAATTTTTAGCCCACGATTGCCTGGTTTTCTCTCGCCAATATCTTCAATCGCTCATCAGTTATAGCGCTTAGATATTATTTTAGCGGTTAGTCCAGAGAAACCTCTAATCACAAGAGTCGACCGACCTATCTGTTTTTACTTGAAAACTTTCGCATATTGTTTCCATTTTTAATTATAATACAGCAGTTATTTTCTCTTTGAATTCAAGCGCACACCATGATTAGCATATTCATTGCTCGACATACTTTAATGCTATCATCTCGTTGTAGCTTTTTGTCCAAGAGTGAACGGCGAGGAAGCCTATTTTGTTGTTGTTATTGTTGTTTTTTTTATATGCCATTTGAAAAAGAGATTCGCCAGATCGCTAAAATATTTCGAAAATAATTGATTGTAAACTGCCTGTTGGAAATCCTTTCAGTAGCTGTGTTATCGTTTTCAATTAATACGAAACTTTTGAATGCAATTAACTCAGTGCCAGGCAGTTGAAATAGACTTACAATCCATCATTAACAAAAGTGAACATTTAGAAGAGCGTTTTTATCACTAAACCGTGTTTAAAGTGAAAACAAATCTATACATTTTCGATGTAACTTCGTATGATTTATACACATGCTTTTGACAAATATTGCGCTGGTAATGTGCATCCTTTGGTGGGGAAACATGCAAATTTCAAGTTCTTTTTTTCTTTCTCTTTTCAAATCATAGATAGTACAACGAGTTAGTCAATGCCAGAAAGAATTTTCCTTGCCAACTTAGTGCGCGCATCGTTCCATATATTCTGGATAATGAAAGGCTTTGCTTACAAATAACCTATCAACAGGTTTCTTTTCAAAGCAAAATAGTGAATGACATCGCCGTTTACCACTCACTGATAATTTTTGTAAAATATTTGATGAATCATTATTATATGGTTTATTGCATATATTCTGGTAAATTAAAATTATATCAAGGGTAGGGACAGTAAATTAAAAAAAAAAAAAAAAAATGGACATGAAACATCGACAAAATATCTCACCGCAAACCTTCTTGGAGAGTCCAACTTTCCCGCGCTACTAAGCAACATTTCTTGCCGAACCGCAGTACTTTATCTGAAGTAAGAAGACTAGTCTCTCAAGAAATTGGACTGCCGCGTCGTACAGCAAGAAAAATACCCAGTTTGTTCATCAATGATAGAGGTACCATAATGAACCATTCTAAAGAAAAATTATGTAGAGCTAGAGCTCCGAATATCAGACTGCCATAATTCGATACAGAGATTTATCTACTTTTATCTGCTTCCATTTGATAATCAAGTAAGTGTTTCTCTGATAAGGCACATTTTAAAATTTGAATACGAAATGTAAAACTGCTTCAAAGTAAAAGTGTTTTAAAGGAGAAATTAATGAAAACAGAACTGTTATTTACTGCATTTTGTTTTCAAAACCTGGGATAAGAGGAAACTCGATCTTTAAGTTGAAAATATTGAGGTTAAAGAAAACACTTTATCTTTTGTTTGGCTAAACTATATCAAAAATCTTGTTTTTGATCGCAAGTTTCTAAACGGTAGTAATTTCTTTTAGGACCCTTGTTCTGGGGAAGTGATTCATGTTGTTACATAATACTTAGAACACCTTGCGAACAGGAATTGATCGATTCATTCTAAATACCTGCATAAAAGAGTCGATTGTTAACTCCGTTTTGCCGTAAAACCACAGAGACATTAAAACCAGTGCTCTAATGCTTTGACTAAGACATTTATTCTACATCAAAAAACCAAAACATCTGACTTTTATACTAAGAGTTGTCTGCGACAGAAAAAAGTCTATTTCTGTTCACCGCTTAACCTAGCGCTTTCGATAAACTCATGCTTATATTTTTAGAGACTTTATAATGCTTTCACTCGGCTTGTTCGTATCGAACCATGAATTTTGTATCATCGGAATTCCTAGATGTAAAGAATGAGCCTTTCTTCGGTTCTATTGTCACTTTTCTCCATATCATGAACAACACATGCATTGGTCGACGTGTAACGTGTGAAAACAAACTCAATCAACTGACTTTTAGCTGTCCATTCACTATCGCTTTGGATTAATTGTGCTTGTTCTCCTCTTTTCATTATTTAGCATTCATGTCTCCAGTGGTGCCGGCACACAGAAAGAATGATTCAGAAACGGCCAGTTTTAAAAGAAAAATTTCTAAACGACAGAGCGCTAAAAAAACAAATGTTATCTACATAGCAGAAACCTCCCTAAGGGGGAGAAATCTAAGGTTATACTTCATTGCTCCTGTAAACATTTGGGAAGCTGATAAAAACTCCATTGATGGAAACAGTTGCAACATGTTGTCGTGCATTGAATAAACAGTCAGATCGAAATAATAGGAACAATCGAATGCTACTAATGACAGAGAGTACCTGTCAGAGTTCATTAATCGAGTTTGGAGTACGTCCGATTGTAATGCGACGCGAATCTACGATCAAGTGATCACGTCAAATGTTACTTTCGTTTTGAGTGCATGGTTCATAAAAGTTGTTGTTACACAACGGTAGGT